TTCGTTTCTTGCGATATTCCTGTGCGCTCTCTCTACCCCGTCGCCGCTGCAGCTGCTGCGCTTGCTGCTGTTGCTGCTGTTGCTGCTGTTGCTGCTGTTGCTGCTGCTCCTGTTGTTGCTGTTGCTGCTGCTGCTGCTGCCTCTCTTGTTGGCGTGCATGTTGAGTCTGCAGCAGCAGCTTAAGGTTGTCTTTGAGTTGCTGCAGCTGCAGACTTTCCTGCTGCAGTTGCTGGTATTCTTGCCTGAGTTGTTCTTGTTGCTGCTGCAGCAGCAGCTGCTGCTGCTGCTGCCGCTTGCGCTTTTGCTGCTGCCGCTGCTGCTGCTGCTGCTGCTTCCTGAAAGTCTTAGCCTCCTTAAGTGCTGCTGCCATAAGAGAAATTACCAGCTCAGGCAGGTGTGGGGCCCTTGCTGCTGCTTGTGCTGCAGCATACCGGAGCCGCTGCTGCTGCTGCTCGCGCTGCTGCTGCTGCCACTGCCACTGGTGCTGCTCCCGCCACTGCAGCAGCAGCAGCTGCTGCTGCTGCTGCTGATGCTCGGGGCAGACCCAGAGAGCTGCTAAGTCAGCAGCAACATTCCACAGCAAATGGACCACTAGCTGCCTTCTGGGAGCTGCTGCTGACAGCTGCAGCAAACTTTGCTGCTGCTGCTGCTGCTGCTGCTGCAGCTCTGTGTGGATGACGGAGATGTTGCCATGCATTCTGTCCAGCAGCAGCACGAGGGCTCTTTGGGACCTGCTGAGGGGCTCCTCCATTTGCTGCTGCTGCTGCTGCTGCTGCTGCTGCTGCAGCAGCAAACGGAAGTATGAAGACACAGAGCGACACAGCCTGCTGCCCACGGCCACCATTTCCAGCGCATGCAGTGGACAGTCTGCACTCGGCCACGGCTCCATCTGCTGCTGCTGCTGCTGCTGCTGCTGCTGCTGCTGCTGCTGCTGCTGCTGCTGCTGGCGCCGCTGCTGCTGCTGGCGCTGGTGCTCACGATTGTGATGCACAATATGGTGATGCTGCTGCTGCTGCTGCTGCTGCTGGCGCTCATGATGGCTACGCGTACGACGCTGCTGCAGCTGCTGCAGCTGCTGCTGCTGCTGCTGCTCTTGAGTGTTGTGGAGATGCTGCTGCTGCTGCTGCTCCTGATCACGGAGACGGGGCTGAGGAAGGTGGTGGGAGCGCTGCTGCTGCTGCTGCTGCAGCTGTGGATCAAAGTACAGTTCTGTGTGGCTGTAGTTTCGCTGCTGCTGTTGCTGCTGCTGCTGCTGCTGTTGCTGAATATCTTGAAGCAGGAGATGCAGCGGATGGCGTTGCTGCTGCTGCAGGTGCTGCTGCAGGTGCTGCTGCAGGTGCTGCTGCAAATGTCGCTGCAGCTGCAGCAGCAGCGCGGTGCAGTGCGGGTTTGCCCTCCCCTCTGCCTGCTGCTGCTGCTGCTGCTGCTGCTGCTCCTGCTGCTGCTGCCTGTTAAGAATTCTCCGAATTTGCCTGAGCCGGTGCTGCACCTCTCTGCACTGCTGCTCCTGGACCTGCTGCTGCTGCTGCTGCTGCTGCTGCTGCTCGTGGGGACTGTGGCCGAGCAGCAGCTGGCGCAGCTGCAGCAGCCGGCGCTGCTGCAGCTGCTGCTGCGGCTGCTGCAGCGCTGCTGCTGGCCCGCGGCCCCCACACACTCTCTGGTGCTGCTGCACCCACAGCAAATGGAAGTTATGAACTGTCTCCAAATGTCTCTTTTGATTAATTAATTTAGTTTCCAAAGAAGGCCATCTTTCAGCAGCAAAAGCGAGTGCAGCAGCAGCAGCAGCCTGCAGCAGCAGCAGCTGCTGCTGCTGCCAGCTGGCCGCCGGGAGCGCCTCCCGCTCCCCCGGCTGCAGCTGCTGCTGCAGCAGCTGCTGCTGCTGCTGGATCGCAGCACGGTCTTCTTGCTGCAGCAGCCGCAGCAAAAGCTCAACTAGCCTTTTTGCTGCGCTGCTGTCCAGAGACACAAGGCCAGTTAGCTCCGCCAGGCACTTGCAGGTCAGCAGCAGCTGCTGCTGCTGCAGCAGCAGCAGCTGCAGCCGCTGCTGCGCGCTGCAGCCGCCGCCCTCCACCACCGCAGCAGCGGCTGCCTGCTGCTGCTGCTGCTGCTGCTGCTGCTGTTGAGGCGAATTCTCAACAGCAGCGCTGGGTCCCCTTCTCCTGCTGCTGCTGCTGCTGGCTTTGCTTTTGTTTCTGCTGCTGTTCCTCTTCCTTCTTCTGCTGCCACTACCACCGCTGCTGCTGCTGCTGCTGCTGCTGCTGCTGCTGCTGCAGGGCTCGTGGGCCTGTGCTGCTGCAGCGCCAGCAGCAGCAGCGGGGCTGCTGCTGCTGCTGAGAAGGGCCCCCAAAGTATACTCTGCCACTTGCGTCAAAGTGTTAATTGCTGCTGGGTGGCTGCTGCTGCTGCTGCTGCTGCTGCTGCTAGAAAGCCCCAAAGTGCTGCATGCGCATGCAGGGTGTGGGGCCCCACAGCTGGGGTGTCTGTACACCCCAGGGGGCATGCGCCGCAGCGCCTCCGGGTGTCTCCGCAGCAAACCCCAAAACGCATGCAGCAGCAGCGCAGCTTCTTGGAGGCTCTGGAGTTGCTGCTGCGGAGGCCCCTTTTCCGCTGCTTCCTGCTGCTGCTGCAGCAGCAGCAGCAGCTGCTGCAGCAGCTGCTGCAGCACGGGCCCCACGTCCACCCCGCAGCAAAACTCAACCCCCAGAGCTGCCCGCAGGGCCCTCGTGGGGGCCCCCAAGGCACTCTCTGGCAGCACCCAGAAAGCCCCCGCGGAGGCCCCTGGGGGGCCCCCTGGGGGGGCCCCTGGGGGGCCCCCTAGGGGGGCCCCTGAGGGGGGGCTCCTGTCTCCAGGGGCCCCGCGGGGGCCCCTCAAGGGGCCCCTTGGGGGCCCCCCTGGGGCCTCAGGGGCCCCCGGGGCCCCTCGAGGCCCTCGGGGACTTAGGCCCCTCGCGAGGGCCCCTAGAGGGGCCCCTGAGAACCCCCAAGGGGGCCCCCCAAGGGGCTTTGTGTGGACTCTGGGGACTGCGGCTGGGGCGGGGCAGTTGGGGTGAAGACAACAGCTAGGGTTTGAGCTTCGGGAGGGTTTAGGGTTTGGGGGTCCTGAGGGTTTAGGGTTTGGGAGTCCCGAGGGTTTAGGGTTTGGGGGCCCCCAGGGGAAAGGGGCCCCAAGACTCCTCGGCTGCGAGGGGCGGTGCTGTCAGTGTAGCTGCGCATTCTAGAGAAGGCAGCTGAGCATGGCCGCAGCGAGGGTTTAGGGTTTGCGAGGGTTTAGGGTTTGCGAGGGTTTAGGGTTTGCTGCCGTGAGCGCGGGGGGATCCGATAAGGCGAGACAAGGGTTCTTTTAAAGACCATTTAACTTAAAAGCGATTATTAAATGCATGCGAAACAACCTTAGCAGCAGCAGCAGCAGCAGCAGCAGCAGCAGCAGCAGCAGCAGCAGCAGCAGCAGCGGCAGCAGGTGACCCCACGCCGTCAGGGCCCCAGCTGCGTTTAACCGGGAGAAACCCTCCTTATTTGGCGATTTTTCGTATATATTTTAACTCTAAAATAAGGGTTTAGGGTTTAGGGTTTAGCAATTAGGGTTTGGCGAGGGTTTAGGGTTTAGGATTCAGCAAGGGTTCAGGCAGACCACTGGGCGGCGCCCGCCGACCTGCTGCTGCCAGCAGCAGCTGAAACTGCTTCGATTAAATTGAATTAAAATTAAAATTAAAATTAAAATTGAAATTAAATTAAATTATTATTTAAATTAAATTAATTATTTAATTATTCCATTTCAGCCCGCATTATTCTGGAGCCGCAGCAGCAGCAGCAGCAGCAGCAGCAGCAGCGGCCAGGGTCACTTCGGCGGCAGCTGCAGCAGGAACCGCCAAACCCTAGGGTTTAGGGTTATCCCTAAACCCTAAACCCTTTAATTTAGGCTTTCAATAAACTCCAAATCCTAAAATTTAGGGTTTAGACCCGATGCCTAGGGTTTAGAGGTTATCGCCAATAGTCTACGGTTTAGGGTTTAGATGCCAATTTTGCGCACCTAGGGTTTAGGGTTTCTGGAGTCCTGTTAAGGGGCTAGGGTTTAGAAATTGTCCCCGAGGGTTTAGGGTTTACAGACAAGACTTAAGGGTCCCCGAATTAGGGTTTAGGGTTTGTAGTCCTAAGGAACTAGGGTTTGGAAATTGTTCCCGAGGGTTTAGGGCTTACAAAGTTAAGAGTTCCAGAGCTAGGGTTTAGGGTTTAGGGTTTGTTAAGGGGCTAGGGTTTAGAAACTCCTGAGGGTTTAAAAGAAATAATTAAACCGCAGTCACGAGGGTTTAGGGTTTGGGGGCCCCAGCCCGGTGTCTCCCCTTCGCCTGCAGCAGCTAGACTGCAGCAGCAGCAGCAGGGGTGCTGCAGCAGCAACTGGACTGCAGCAGCAACTGGACTGCAGCAGCAACTCGACTGCAGCAGCAGCAACTCGACTGCAGCAGCAGCAACTAGCCTGCAGCAGCAGCAGCTGCCCTGCAGCAGCCTCTTGGCTGCTGCAGCTCTCCGGAGCCGCCCGCAGCAGCGCCTGCTGCTGCAGCAGCAGCAGCGCCCCTGCTGCTGCAGCAGCAGCAGCAGCAGCAGCACCCCTGCTGCAGCAGCAGCAGCAGCAGCAGCAGGAGAGTTTAGAGTTTGTTGAAGGAGACGATTTCCGCGGACTGGACGAGTCCGGGGAAGTCCTCGTCCTCGTCTTCGTCGGTGTCGGTTTGCTGCTGCTGCTGCCTGCGCTGCTGCTGCTGCTGCTGCTGCTGCTGCGTCAGCCCCAAAGCCTCTATTGCTTCCAAAATGTCGCTGGTGTTCACAACTTCGTCCAAAATGCTGCAGCAAACTTGCAGCTTGTAAAGTCCAAAAGCAACAGGAACTTTCTTGACAGTTTCTCCCCAAGTGAGGCCTTTTATTTTTATTTCTTTCGTCAAACGCGCCACTTCCTCCAGGTCGCTCTCCGCGTCTGCAGCAGCAGCAGCAGCAGCAGCAGCAGCAGCAGCAGCAGCAGCAGCAGCAGCGGAGGGGGAGGAGGTGGGCGGCAGCGCGAAAAGCGGGAAGCAGCTGCAGCAGGCGGGGCTGCGTTTTGAGGCTAATGGGCTATACTGCAGCAGCAGCAGCAGCAGCAGCAGCAGGGTTGCTGCTGCTGCTGCTGCTGCTGCTGCTGCTGCTGCTGCTGCTGCTGCTGCTGGTGGTCTTACTGGCAGGTTTGATTTCTATGACGAGGGAGGACTTGTTGACAACTTCCTTCTTCTTCTTTTGCTGCTGCTGCTGCTGCTGCTTCTCCTTCAGCTGCTGCACAGCAGCAGGGTCGTCATCGCCTGCAAGACACAAAGACAAATAAATAAATAAATAAATAAATATAAATAAATAAATAAATATAAATAAATAAATAAATATAAATAAATAAATAAATATGAATAAATTGATAATAGATATATAATCCAAAAGTTTGGTAATAAACCCCAGACGCCTTTCCTCTCTGCAGCAGCAGCAGCAGCAGCAGCAGCAGCAAAGGCGCAGCAGCAGACACAGGAGCATCCGCAGCAGCAACAGCAGCAAACGCAGCAAGACAGCGCTGGTGTCTGTTTAGGGTTTAGGGTTTAGGGTTTGGTGGGTACCGAAGAGGTCGATGTCGTCGTCGTCGTCGTGCTGCTGCTGCTGCTGCTGCTGCTGCTGCTGCTGCTGCTGCTGCTGCTGCTGCTGCTGCTGCTGCTGGCCGGCGGGCCAGGTGGCAGCTTCTCTTTTGCTGAAGGAAGTGATGTGGGAGTACCAGCGGAAGGCGTGGGGGTACTTTAGGGGGCTGGGGGGCCCCAGCAGTTTTGCTGCTGCTGCTGCATCATCTTGTGTTGCAGCAAACCCTGAAAGGTAAGATCTGGACTCCAAGAAGCTGTTGAGCTGCTGCAGCCCCGCGTCCCCCTTGAGGTTTCCGAACTGCGGCGCCATGCTGCTGAGACGGAGCTGCTGCTGCTGCTGCTGCTGCTGCTGCTGCTGCTGCGGTGCTGCTGCTGCGGCGGCAGCCAAAACGACAAGCGCAACTTAAATACAAGGAAAGATAACTGCAATTGCCCCCAGACACCCTGCTGCTGCTGCTGCTGCTGCTGCTGCTGCTGCGCCCCGTGTCCCCACCGCAGCGGCAGCGGCAGCTGCTCGCGCGGCTGCAGCCGCCCGCCCGCGCTGCTGCTGCTGCTGCTGCTGCTGCTGCTGCTGCTGGGAGCTGCACACATACGGGGATTAACGCGCTTCTATAGCCTTTGTTTCGCATTAATAAACTTAATTAAATATATATTTCTTTTTTAGTTTGCAAACGCGCGGAAAGGAACGCAGCAGCAGCCGCAGCAGCTGGGGTGTATGTACACCGCGCAGCAGCAGCAGCACTTGCTCCGCAGTTCCTCGCCAACTCCGGCGATTTTTAGCGCCTCAAATTCGAAAACTTGCAATTAAAATGAATTAAAAGTAAAAGTGAAGTTGAATGGATGCAAATAGAAGAGAAACTAAAGCGGGGGGTGTATGTACACCTGGCGGCAACGCGCGCAGCAGCGCTGCTGCTGCTGGCTCACAGCTAAAAGCCCCTCGGGCTGCTCTTCTTTTGCTTCTTTTCTCTTTTCTTTATTAACTTTGCATTCTTTTCTTCATTAATTCCCCAAATTAGTTCCATTATATCTTCAACTCCAGGAAGACAAGTCCGAAGAAGCAAAATCCGCAGACAGCAGCGCAGCAGCACATACACCCGGCAGCTGCCCCCACAGCAGCAGCAGCGGCACATTCGCTCTCTTCCCAACCTGCAGCAGCAGCACCTGCAGCAGCAGCAACAGCAGCAGCAGCGCGGCAGCAGCAGCAGCAGCAGCAGCCGCTACACGGACACGCGCGCCCTCCGCTAGCCTGCGCTGCAGCAGCAGCAGCAGCAACAGCAGCAGCAGCAGCGGCAGCAGCAGCAGCAGCTGCTGCCGCTGCTGCTGCTGCCCGTCGCCCGGAGGCCTTCCTCAGCTGAAGAGACCCAGGGGAAAGTCCCCGGCGCTGCTCCTCCTCCGCAGCCCCTAAACCCTAAACCCTAAACCCTAAACCCTAAACCGCCCCCTTTCCCCTCCCACCATGCCTCTCCCAACAGACCCTAGCCAGCAGCCCCAGCAGAGCGGCGCTGCCCCCCTATTCCCCGCAGCAGCAGCAGCAGCAGCACCAGCAGCAGCAGCAGCAGCAGCAGCAGCAGGAGCCGCCGCCGCAGGGCCCCCACCCGCGGGGGCCCCCCTGGGGGCCATGAAAGCATCAAGAAAGTGGTAAGTTCGACTTTGCGACAAGATGAAAGACAAAGGTCTCTTTTGGCATTTCGGAAAAGCCAAAGAGAGAGACAAAGACAAGAAAAGAGACTGCAGCAAGTGCTGCAGCAGCAGCAGCAGCAGCAGCTGCCGCTGCCGCCGCAGCCGCTGCGGCCGCTCGTGGAGGCGCTTTACGGCTTGCTGCTGCTGCAGCAGCAGCAGCAGCAGCTCCGCCACGGCGTCGTCGTCG